TGGGGGTGGAGGTGGGAACAAACGAGGTGGTGCCAGCGGAGGTTCCAACGGAGATGCCTATCGTCCGATGCCGAGTGCCGCGAAAAAGAACTGGGACAGATATAGACTATGATGAAGTGAACAGTGTAATGATACCAATGAGACTGCAGGGGCCTGGTTAGCTTGCCAAAGTCTGTGGGTGACTCGACCTTGCAGATGTTCTTCTATACTGCATGCGGCTATTATTGGAGTTTCAAGGGCGATGGTGTTGATGGTTTCACCACCTCTTATCCAAGACTTGACTTGAAGGCTTTGTTTATGATAGCATTATCTGCCATAATGTACAGTCGGGCCAATCCGAGGAGCCATGCATAAATCTGGACACCATGACCATGTTTTCGTGAATCTATACCCATAAGAGCTTTAAGAATGCGCCTTTCCAGTCCAATTTCTGGACCGTATATACTCTCGGCATATGTACTATACACCAGGTCCGGACGCTTTATACAAGACCACGAACATGTGTTGGTTGTCGGCCTTTTTTTGGTCTCCTCTATCCCTCCCTGTCACTTGTGGGCGTCTTATCCCCGCCCTGGTGACCAACGAAACCGTTTTCTAGTATGCCAATCAGCTCATCTAAACGGTCGATGCAGAGGTCCGTATGAGCATGGTCTTTGAGATGAGAGTTGTGCTCGTTGACAAGCAAGACAGTCGCTGCGCCTGCCGTATGACCGGCAGTCATATCATCAATGCTGTCACCGACCTGCGACATTACCAAGGAAGACGTAATTAGGTTCTGGATATAAGCGGATCAAGATGATGCCGACTTACCATGATCAAATTCTCAGCGCGGTTGTCGAGGCCCCATTGCCGGGCAATATGTAAAATCCCAGCCGGATCAGGCTTGGGAAGTAGACCGGGTGTTTCCCGCGTGATAATGGGCAGAAAAACGTGAGCAGGAAGGTGATTCTGCAAGAGATGCATCACCGGCGCCCTATCATGCATAGCGGAGTCAGCAACTCCGCTTCATGAGTCATCAGAATAGCAGTGGCAAAGGCTTCGACGCACTCGAAGTTGCGTGTACAAAGGGCCCTATGCAACCCCCGAGACTGGAGGTAGTCCATCAGGTCCACCAGACCTGGTTGAGGCTGCTGATGCCGCATCGCCTCTCGCTCGACGGCTTTGATCTTTTCGGCTGCCGCGGTGCGCTCGGCAGCGGTGGGAAGATCTCGGATATGGTGAAGAATGTCGACTTTCTTGTCGATCCCCAGAGCTTTACTAGGAGCTGTTAGACAGTCATATCTTTTGAGTAGGGTATTGTGTGATGAGTCCTTACCGCATCTCGGTAAACATATGATTCTGTGGTAGGCTGTTGCGGTTAGTTCAGACTATGAGTATTCTATTGGAAACTCAAACGAGAATGAAGCATAGCTCTTGGATCACAACAAAGAAAGATATTTCAGATTGATCCTGCCTTCGTAGTAGAAGTCTCACCATAGTGTCCCATCAACGTCAAACACAATCCCTTTCAACCGAGGCGCTTCAGAAGATTCCGCGAGGGCTGGATTGAGGGGGGCGAAGCGTCGTTGTCGGAGAGCATAGTTTTCAAGTGAGGGTGCCATTGAGACGAATGAAGACGAGGATCGGCTGAAAGTACGAGATGCAAGCATGGAATGGAATGGCTGTTGCTTTGGGCGTGGTGAGATTTAGGGTGGTGAGGATCGAATCAAGTGACGTTATGGAGGAGATAAGAGGGAATAGGTAGTGCACTGTAGTACACAGGACTAGCGGGGCTTCCCAGACGAGCACCTGGAGTTGTAGATTGACGTCCATGATGCTTGAGTTCTAGGAGACGCCGTTAAGGCCAAGGTGATATTTTACAAGTCGACCTTTATTATTGATCTTCTCCGGACACTATCCCATATGCTGAAAATGCCATTGCTGGTTGCTCCTTCCCCCGAGTACAGCGTGTTACTTTTGCCGAATTCCCTGAGACTGAATCTCTTACTTCTTTGTATAATGGATAGCAGCTCAATCCTTTTATGGTCCTCCTGCTCTGTATTTATTTTTGTGACCTATCCTGACCCAGCATAGATAATACCGCTTCATCTCAGGGACCGCATCCATGACGACTCCAAGATCCAAGGACCTGTCTCAGAGACATGCACCTATCGCAATCAGTCTGGCACAAGCTCTCAAGCTAGTAGGAGCACTGTTCACCCTGAAGATACTGCATGCTGCGGCGCTGGTCTTTCGCATAGATGAACAAGAACCACAGAATCCGGTTCGGGGAGCCATTCATCGCAGAGAGCAGCAAATCGTACAGATCTTCCTATCATCCATTCCGGAAAGCTACTATGTACCGATTCTCGGGAACTTCTTCTCCAACGACCTTCCCTTAACCTCCATCGCGACGAATACGAATTCGAATTCAATTCAGCAGTCCGGCAGACCGACAAATGTGGCGGAAGTACAGTCTACCGAGAGGACATCATCTCAGCAGAACAGTCTGCTGATGCAAGTCTCCTCCAGTATTGAGCCTGCAGTCCGCATGTCTCAGGCGCTCGTGGAACGTGAGCCGGAGCTCACCAAAACGAAATCGGAAAGTGCCGTGGACTCAATGATTCCAGTGGCCGGCAGCGAATCGCTTTACTCCAACACGACGATGAAAAGAAGTACTTCCGTGCGCAGAATGTATTCGCGTTCCTCGAGTATGCAGCAGGCTATGGCAGGTTCGGCGGCACAGTATGTCAAGCTTGTGCCTGGCAGGCCACATTTCAGTATCGCCAGTGGGCCAATGTCGATGGAGTCCACGGATGGACAGCAGCCTCGACTGACCGACGACTCTGCGAATAATCAGACTCTGCTTGAAATGGAGACTTTGCAAGCAACCCACTCGGTGGAAAGTTTTCCTGGAAAATTTCCCATCAGTGATGGGCTGGAGTTTAGTTCTCTTGCCACGGCACCACACCATATAAGCGGCCGAGGAACAACTTCTGTCAGGCCGTTTTCGGATGTTTGATGGGAACTTGGATTGAGGAAATTATTGGATCAATTCTGTTCTGCTTTTAATTTTGCCTTTCCTGTTTGGGGTAGTGGAGAGTTAGTGTTTTCATCATTACTTGGAGTCTCATCACAAACGGGGTTAGTATTCAGGTTAATACCCAATTGCATAGCCTAACTTAGCCAGAATCAATTCAAAAACAACAGAGCAGCAGGTCTACTGTTCTTGGTGTATGGCATGATCCAGATATCCCATTGCCCGAACGTAGATCTTTGCACTCTCCAGAACCCGCTTCTTGCTGTCGCCATGGGTGTCCCAACTGACAAAGGCACCATGAGCATCATCGAACTCTGTGTGCTTGATTGCTTTCCAGATATTGTGCACCGCGTCAGGCGGCAGGGGAATCTATCCAGTCAGTTCAACATATACTAACAACCAAGCAAGAACCACAAACCATATTGGGATACGACCACATGAACGTATACGACGCCGTACCCGGCACCCGATCCTTGTGATACACACCACTCGGCACTACGCCGATCGAATCCGCAACCAGGAGCTTCCTCAACGGCTTGAACCACAGCACCGAGCTACCGGGGAAATGACCCCCCGTCTTCACCGCTACCAGGTCCGCATCCCCATCCGCCTTACCTGGCAAGGGAATCCGTAACTCCCTCCCCGCCCAGAAAACCTGCCTCTCGGTCCTGCGCATCACCCACTCCTTATCCTCCGCCGCCATGTAGACAGGACACTTGAATATCTCCGACCAGTGCACATTCGCGCCGTAGAAGTGCGGATGCGAGATGACGATCGCGGCGAGGCCGCCTAGCTCGTTGATCCGGCGGATTGTGTCCTCGTCGATGTAGGAGAGGCAGTCCCAGAGGACGTTGCCGTGGGCCGTGCGACAGAGAAAGGCGCGCTGGCCGATGCCGACTTTGGGGCTTGTGTGGATGGTTATCAGGGAGTCCGGGTGGTCCGGGTCTGGAACGAAGTCGTTGTGGTACTGGTTTGTTGATTGTAGAGTGCGGAGGGTTGTCCAGGATTGGCTTCGTTGAGAATGTTAGTGGGTGCCTTTACTTCTGGTCTTGGGGCAGGTGAGTGCTGGGAGAGGGCGCGATTTTTACCCTGTTGGAGGGAGGTATTGGCGTGGATCGTCGCAGATCTTACAGGAGGACTCAGAGGTGGTATCGTACTGTGTTCCGCAGGTGGAACACATAATGAGGTCGAGCGAGTCAGGCATGTTTGCGGTCGAGAAGGTTGTCGCTTATCATATATGTAATGTTGTTGTCGCTGTCGTTGATGAAGTTGAGAGGGTCGAGAGACGGAGGAGATCAGGTGAGGGGATGATGTCGTTCTTGATAACTTACCCCGCATTTCGATGGCGCACTGCATTTATGGTGGCCACAGTCCTTGAGAATTGTGTCAGGATCGTGGATTCAAGAGCTGGCTCTCTTGAGAGGAAGAGTAACTGGTGCGAAGAGTTCAACCATGCTTTTATGTTCAGGCTATGCATGTGACTGCGAAGTACATTCATCACAAGCATCATCGCAAGTGACAGACAAGACTGGTCTGCTAAGAAACCAAAATAGGCAGGAAGATGAAGAGAGTAGGGAATCACTTGTGGGCAAATAGGACAGAAAAGTACATGTAATGCCATGAATGTTTACAACCTCCACCCGTTCCACCAAAAACAAGGCGTCAATTAGGGCAAAAAGAGGCTCCAGATGTGATATGCAGGAACGCTGGTATCATCAAGTTATGTTAACTTTGAAAGAGCATCAGGTAAAGCTTCAATTGCAAAGGTCATTAAGGTCATTAGATTTGATCAGCGCAAGGATCACAATCCCTAGCCGAGATTGGGTAATGTCTTAGAAGCGTCACGGAAAGTCTCTGTCTGACTGATGTTGCGTGACAACTAATCAATGGTCGTGCTCATCGTCAACCTGGTCGGGGCTTGCTCGATACTGACTCCTCTTCCTGCGGTTCGGACTGTATTGTGAGCCGGAGTTGAGTGGTCGAGGCCCGGTAGGTTTGCGCGGAGAGGGTGTGCCGTGTGGAGAACGCATAGCAGAACTCTGCAGGGAAGATGATTAGTATCCTCGTTCCTGATGTGATAGACAAAAGGAGCTTACCTGGGAGGCAACGCGCTCCGCGTACGATCGCTCCTCGTCCTTGACTTTGGGAGGCCTCTCAGGAACAAGAGGACCCTCGTCTTTGATCTTGGGCGGTCTTGGGGGACCCCCAGCTCTCGAACTTGTTTGCGAGTAGCCTGTATCTGAGATCGGTGAAAGTCGACTGGCGCCACTGTACCGGTTCTGATTCGGATTAGCGGCAGACAAGCTAGGATTGGAACCCCATTGATCCGAGGTCGCCCCCGTCGTTGGCATTCCGTAAATCTGCGCCTGCGTCTCGAGCTGGGATTGGTAACGCCCGGTAGGGCCCTGGCGCGGTTGGGGATGCTGCAGATCGAGACTGTCGCGATGAACGCGGTACTTTGGAGCCTCAGAGACCTGTGATGGGACGAGAGGCGATGGAGGTCGATTCTCCTGCTGCTGGTCGTTCAGGGTGTAGTTGGACCGCAGCCGATCATCGCCTTGCGGATCATACCAGTCACCCGTCTTGTAGGGCCCGTTGACATCGGATCCGGAACGTGACGCATCGAAGTAAGGGCGTTCCTTGCGTCCGGGTTGGATGCTGTTGCGGATATTATCACCCATGGAAGATGCGGTGGTTTTTGACCAACGGGAGATCTTGGGAAAGAAGGAAGAGCTGCTCGACTTGTGCTTGCGCGCCTTCTCGTTCGTCTTCGGGCTTGTCTCGTTGCTGAGAGCGCCCGAAGCCACCGGCACTCGAGGTGGAGTTGAAAGAGGCGCAGATTCAGCCCTCTCACGATGACCATTCGCGTTCTCCTGGGATGGCAAGTTCGGGCTCAGAAACTCTCCGCGCTCGTCATAATCGTCGTCCTCGTCGCCTTCAGGGACGGTGCTGACGCGGTTCTCGAGCTCTCTTCTTTGTCCATTGCTACGAGATTCTTGGAAAGGTCGAGAAGATGTTGAGAGGTATCCTGACTGGGTTCCTGGAGAGCCAGAACCGGCGAGACCCTCAGGCTCGTACCCGTCCGGATCGACACTCGCTGTTCGATTGACACTGCGGGCGAATCTATCGTCTTGACCTGCGCGTAGGGCTTCAACCTCCTCGAGGAGCTGTTCCAGCATCTCCTCGATCTTGGTTAAGTCATTCGAAGACTTGAGACTCAGCCCCTTGAGCGCCCGTTTGAATATGCTCTTTCGCTTCGAACGCAGGTCCTCGCTATCATCCGCAGCCTGGCGGAAGTTTCTCGAGCTGCTGGCAGGCAGTGGGCGCGGTCCACCGATAGCTTTGTATGTACGTTCATGCTGCTTATCGCTGGCCTCCATAATCATGCCGTCCTGTTGAGCGATGAACTTCTTCATTTCCTCGAATGAATTGCGCATCTCCGCTGCACTTCTGACGAGAGTCACCAGGATTTCAGTATCTCTGGCATTACGCTGAGCGTCGCGAACAGTGAGCTAGTTACGAGAGAAGTTAGTGAATGATCTGTGACTTCAGAAGGGAGTGGAAAGAGATAATCACATGATCCATAAGGGCAATGATATCCTTTGACTGAATTCTGTCGATCCCTCTCCCGGTTGCGCTATCGTACAAAGGAGAACCAATGCCGTGTGAATAGCCACTTAGGTTCCTCTGGTGCGAAGGCCCCGTTGGGTCGTCGGCCCCCAGAGGAGTATCGAAAAGGCCCATGCCATTGGCATCGATTCCAGCAAATCCCTTGCTGACCGGCTCGGGAGTATCGGCACCTGGTGACAGGGGATTGGCGGCCGATACATAGCCCTCGTCCTTGACACCCAAAGGGGAGCCAAACATGTGACCACCGGCATACGGTTGGTCAAAGTAGCCGTCAGGTCCATAGTCGTCCGCGGCATAGTAATCCTTGTTGTAACCATGGTGATCCATAGGCTCTAATCCCAGGCCCGTACTACCAGCACCTGCGTCAGCGTTCTCGTGGTAGTAAGGCGACTGATCACCCTTGGGCGGTGTCTGATGATACGTCCAGTTGCCATCCTGAGCAACTCCTCCGATTGGACCTTGGATGATGGAAGGATTTGTATTGATTTCCGACTCAGAGTCTGGGCTCACGTCGCGACCCTCAGGCATGGGACTTCCTGCACTGCGGTGTTCATCAGCAAATATTTGGGGCGATTCGGTTCGATCCTCAAGCGATTGAGTCACACTCTGGGGAGGAGACGTGGCGCCCATTCTTCTCGGGAAAGAAGTCTCATCCGGACTGGATGCATCTTGGCGTTGCTTGAGAGGACTTCCCTGGCGAGACCCATGGGCTTTCTGCTCCAAGGGCTTAGGGCTGCGGTCGTCTTGTATGCGCGGCAGATTCTGCTGTGAAAGGTTCCCGCCTGACTGATTGGACTTGGTGTCCAGAATTGAAGGATCAAGGAGCGAAGCAACTGCTGATTCAACAGCAACGGGTTGGACGTATTGAGGATTTGCACCGATCCCCTGAGCAACACGCTGTCCCTGGTCAATTTTCTTGATATAGCTGACTTCGCTTTCATCAGTATAGTTGGTCAAACGTTTGCCATCGCTGTCAATGGTGTCTGCCATAGAGTGTCGGTTATTGGGGCCGTCTACTTCCGAGCCTTCGTGCCAACTCTCGTTGTGTGGTGTTAGCCTCGGCGTTTCCTCATAGCCCAAGTCATGATCGACTTCGTCCCGATGTCTCAGAATCTCACTATGACTTGTCAGGCCGTCTGGTCGTGTTGACCGTGCAAGACTCGTGCTTGGCGCCGAGGAGAGCGATTCAATTGATAGTCGTGGCTCCAGCTCCCTCTCGCCCTCGGAATATTCATGTTGATCATAATGAGTGGAATACTGCTGGGGTTGAGAGTCACTCTGATTGCTGGCTACGCTCTGGATAGGGCTGAGCGTGCGTCGGCGCGAGTCATTGTTGAAGTCGGAGTCTCGACGGTCCGAATGGACGTCCAATAGGTTGGCCGCAGCCGCAGCAGCAATAGCCCCAGCTGCAGCCTCGCTGACGGGCGAGTGATCCCGCTCGTGAAGAGAAGGATTTGAAGTGCTGTGCAGTGAGAGGTTGTGGCGTGAGAGGTTGCTGTGTTTCAGCGCCAATTCATGCCGCGAGCCCAAGGGTGTCCGATTGGGAGTGCGAGAGGTGGGAGAAGTAACTTGCAAGGGCGACCCGCGAGACACGTCCTGGACCCTGCTTTCTTTGTGGGGAGTTTCGGTCTCTGCGGTCCGTTGAGACAACAAAGAGTCCCGTGTCAATTCCGTCTCGACGGCACTGCGCAACGGCATGGGCGCCACATTATGTCTCTGGAAAACGAGCTCCGTTTCATTGATGCCCTCTGCGCGGTCTGTGTCGCCACTTCTTCTGCCTTCATCCTTGTCGATGCTGGACTGCGATTCATGACGTCTCAGAGCGGCCGCGGTCAATGCAGTCCCTACAATTGCGGCCTTTTCCGCATCGCGCAATCCTTTGCTTTTCTGTCTCCGCAACTTGTCTTGTTCGGTTAGCTCGGGCCGATTGCCCCAGACGGCGTATGTCGGTTCGAGTTTCTTCTCGCTATCCTGGCTTGTGCCGCGCTCCTTCGTTGCCGGCACCGGGTCGCCCGAGAGTACGATACCTTCGTCCTTGCTATCCTTGTTCAGGACGACTTTTGGTTTCATCACATCAGGCGCACTGGCATGCTTGGAAAGACGCCGACCCAGCTCATCCCGAGACGGGGAGCTGGCAGAGGAGGTGTAGGAGGCATTGAGATCACGTTCAAACTTGGAAGTGTTTGAGATGACCTTTTGATCCTTTTTGAGTTCCTTCAACTCGGGCAAAATCAATCTTCTGATCGCATCCTCAACCGTCTCAAGCAGTTTTGGATTGTTGAGAGATGACTTGGAAGTTCCCGACCGGAAAGAGTATTGGTCGCCGGATTTGCGGTGAGAGGAAACCGCTGAAGCGCTCAGCAGACTGGACTCAGGGCTCGCCATGTCGTCGTCTCGGTAGGCTCTGCTTTTCTTGCTGGTGGCGTGGTCGCGTGGGTCGTTGCTCAATTTCTCAGCTACTCGATGAGCGATCCTCTCCGTACTCAGACTGCGGCTTCTCTGACGGGACGGGGTCTTGAGATAGTCCTTGGATTCGTGACCGTCTTTTCTATTGAGACTCGAGCTTCGTTTTCG